GAGGGCTGCTCTCTCATTCACACACTGCTAAAATCCAGGATCACTCTTCAGTTGAAAACGTTCTTCAAGACGAACACACAACACTAACATGCATAGTAAAGATCAAATCTGGTAAGTTTTCTTTCCATCTTAAGGTTGAAAATATATAGATTTGTGTGTATGAAGGAAAATAGCATACATAACTACTTTTTGTCAAAAATGTAAAGTTTAGCTCTGTTAAATGTTGGATATTGTATGACATTTTATTGTATAAAACATGATTCTGGTTAAGCAAAGGGGTATTTGCCATTTTTAATCAATAATGCCAATATAATACTTTTTAATAGTCACAATAGACCTGAAATGGAACAGTCAGGGATATAATAAGTCAGGCTTTTAGTTTAATAAAGATTTTTCTTTTCTCATCACCAGCCATGAGGACTATCAGAGAACTGCAGACTGGCTGCTGTCCCAGACACAACACAGACCAAAAGTAGCCATCATCTGCGGCTCTGGACTGGGAATGCTGGCAGATGCGCTCAAATGCCAAGACTCTTTCAAATACTCTGACATCCCTGGCTTTCCTCAGAGCACAGGTAAGATGCAGCTCAGAGCATGCAACAATGTATTTGCATCAGTGGTTTTTGTTCATTTGCAAAAAGCATAAAGACAAAGTATTAGCTAAAACTGTTATATCGTGCTAGCTCGTTACACTGTTAAACGTTTAGCCTGCAGAAATCGAGGATTTTAGTTTAAATGGTGCCTTAAATTTTAAAGTGACAAAATTACAGCTAGCAGATTCATTGCACCATTTTTTATTAAATTAGTGAGAAAGAAAATTAAGTTGAAACTTGAATAATGTTGGCATTATTATGATGTTAAATGGATGGAAACAAAATTCTAAAAACATTTTTGTGGTTATGTTGTTATGTTGTATGTAGTAATGCTTGTGTGTGTTGTGTGTATTGAAACAGTGAAGGGTCATGCTGGAAGGCTGGTTTTTGGAGAGCTCAAAGGGAAGACCTGCGTGTGCATGCAGGGCCGATTCCACATGTATGAGGGACACTCACTAAGCAAGGTTTGAAATTGTTGTTCAAATTTATGCTGTAGATGTTTTATTGTTTTGGGAAAAGTCTCTTATGTTCACCAAAGCTGTGTTTATTTGATCAAAAATACAGTAGAAACAGTAATATTGTGAAATATTATTACCATTTGAAATAACAATTTTTCTATTTTAATATATTGTAACATTTATTTCTGTTATACAAAACTGAATTTTCAGCAGCCATTACTCCAGTCTTAAGTGTCACATGATCCTTTAGAAATTATTCTAATATGCTAATATCTAATATGAATTATTCTTGATGCTCAAGAAATATTGCTTATTTTTATTATTATTAAGCAGTAATGCTGCTACTTTGTATGTTTTACTATCACTTTTAATCATTTTAATGTGAATAAAAGTACTCTATTAATTTCTTTAAAAAACATCTTGACCCTAAACTTTTCAACGATATTGTACATTTTTAACAATTTTCACTTCAGTTCATCTTGGTAAGTTTGCATCTTTCTTGAACTAACTTATTTTAATGTCCCATCAAGCTTTAGTTGCATAATGGCTCGGGATAATACAAAATGTGTATCTTGATAGTTTCATCATGTGTCACAAATGCATTCCAAAAGTGACTCCAAAACACTGTTCTATTCATGCTGTGTCATTCTGCAGTCTAGAATGATAGAATGATAGAATAAGGAGATTTTTTCTTTTTGGATGCCCGCACAGTATATTCACTCCATCCTGGTCATGCTGATTTGAGTCACATGCTGTAATCAGAGCACAATGAACTATTCAGTGAAACTTTTGTGTGGTTTATATAAGACAGGGTTAGATTAAAATGGCTTATTGGAGGTATCCCTGTACAGTACACCCGCAAGCTTTTGCAAGTTCATTACAAAGGTACTGGATGTTGAAAATGAATTGACAGAATTTGCACTTGTGTTCCTCAGGTCACTTTTCCAGTAAGAGTGTTCAAGCTACTGGGTGTCGAAACCTTGATTGTCACTAATGCTGCAGGGTCATTAGCGGACAGTTATAACTGTGGTGATATTATGATCATACGTGACCACATTAACTTCCCTGGACTTGCTGGATTTAACCCACTCAGTGGCCCTAATGATGATAAGTGAGTATCAATGTACATGTTGAAGTGAGTTAAGAAAGCGTTCATTCATTAGAATCACCAGTACAAGGAATGTAATCATTTATCTGTTGCTGTCAAGGTTTGGTCCTCGATTTCCACCCATGTCTGGGGTTTATGACAAAAGCCTACGGAAGATGGCGTTCGACATCTGTAAGAGCATAGGCGTCTCTCAGTATGTCCAAGAAGGCGTCTACTGCATGGTGGGAGGACCCAACTTTGAGAGCATAGCTGAGGCCGGCCTTCTGCACAAACTGGGAGTGGATGCAGTTGGTAAGCTGGTGTCTCGTTTAGGAAAATCAATACAATTCGTATCTAATCCAAATCTGTAAATTGCTTTTCACTTTGACTGATGATGTAAATTAGCAACAACTTCACCTAAAGAGATGGTTCACCCAAAAATTAAAATTGTCATCATTTACTCAACCTTTGGTTGTTCCAAACCTACGTGAGTTTCTTTCTTCTGTTGAGCACAAAATAAGATATTTTGAAGAACAATCAGTTGCTGGTAGCCGTTGACTTCCATAGTATGGAAAAAAAACAAAAACATATTGAAGTCAGTTGCTACCAGAATTTATACAGTTAATATAATAACATTCTATTGTATATAGTCAGTTGATTTATTTCATATATTGAGATTGACTGATGATTACATTTTATTACATTATTAAAATTTTAGTGTTTTAATAAATGTAAAAATAGAGATAATTAGCATGCACAATTAAATATCCAATATCGATTGTTGCCAATGAATTATAATAATCTAATATTGACTTTATAACCAATATATCATGCATCCCTAGTTTTTGTTTTTATTTTTCATGTTTTAATGCCCCTGAAAGTACTGAATATCAGGTCATTTCACTGCCTGATGAATGAGCTCCTCTATTACACGTCTCTCTGGAATACTTGGTTCTGATTGGTCAGTCACTGCATTCAACAGACTCATATTTTTCTGTAATGACCGTTAAACTGTACAATCGGCCGCTGTGCCGGGCATCTGATTTCCTGCACAGCTGTGTTAGTTTCAAATTTCTTGTATCACTCTGTGACATTATAGGTTTATATCATAGTCATAATAGAATTTTTGGTCACACACTTTATTTTAAGGTCCAATTCTTGCTATTAACAAGCCATTAACTATGACTTTTGCCTCAATAAACTCATAATTTGCTGCTTATTAATAGTTAGAAAGGTAGTTGTTAAGTTTAGGTATTTAGGGATGTAGAATATGGTCATGCAGAGTATGTGTTTACATGCTTTATCAGTACTAATAAACAGCCAATATGTTAATAATATGCATGCTAATTAGCAACTAGTTAATAGTGAGAATTGGTCCCTATATACATAATAGAATAATTTCTTAAACTTAAATCAATATTCCAAGTGCATTTATAGTTGTTAAGTAGCCATATAATAAGCCAGTAGGCCATTTTGGCCTAATTGCTATGTTAATACACACCTGTGTATTGTATAGAAATAGTAAGTCATATTGTTATATTGTCATAATTATGCATTTATTTTAAATTTATGTCTAACTTGCCTTTAAAGGAATGAGTACCGCACCAGAAGTGTTGGTCGCCAGTCATTGTGGCATGAGGGTCTTTGGTCTCTCCCTCATCACTAACAAAGTGGTAAAAAGCTATGAGGACAATGAGTCTGTCAATCATGAAGCTGTGCTGGAAGTGAGCAAAATGCGCTCGGAGACGCTGCAGGTGCTGGTCACAGAGCTCATCAGCCGCATGGACATCAACAACAACACGGCGTGATGTCATCAACACTGGAACTGCCAATCAAAACCTCATCCAGGAAAATCTGCAGATATACTATGATCATGTTTTCCGTTTCTTTATACTTTTCAATGCAATTACAGAGCATCTGTTTCAATAACACATTTTAAATATTTAAATGTTAAGATTTTACTATTTGCAGTGATCCAAAATATGATCTAGTTTGATGGTGCCATAACAACAAACTTAAAACACTGGGCTATTCCATATGTTATTCATTAAATGTTAGTCTTTTTTTGTGCTGTGAAGGCTGTATATGCATTTGTATATTGATGATTTCATAATATTAATCCCACCTTTTTTATGCAGAACAAAATATGCAATGCTGTTCATTATACAAAGTAATATAATTCCCAATGTTAATATGTTGACGATAAAGTTGGATATTTGAATCATTCTTATGCTATTTATAATACATTTTATATTTACTGTTTGCGTTGTAAATGTGCTACTAAATATAGACCTGTTTGTATAACCTTCTCTTCTATAAACATGCATCTTATCTATAATGCAGAAATGTCAGCAATTAAAGTGTAGGCTATTTCGAAAACAAGTATATTGTAAATCATTTCCATTACAACATCATAAAAGTTTTTATTTATGTATTTAGAGAGGGTTAAAAAAATAGACAATACAAACCCATTAATTAAACTTATTAATTTCCCATTAAATAAAAAAAAAGAACAGTAGGCCTAGTGTGTTTTTACAGATGACAGGGAAAAATGTAATAATAACAAAAGTGGAATTTTGACAAGAATTGGGAGATTTCACAACTGAATTCTTTATACACTCAATTTTGCTACAATCACATAGAATATATAGGGATTTATAGAAGTTCATAAATACATGCTCTTTACTGTTAGGCCACATAATAATAATAGTACAGCGCAGTTTTGCGCATGCTCAGTATGTCCACTAGATGGCAGCCGAAGTGCGCTGTACCAGGCGTGTTTCTCCGGTTGCTATGGCAAACTTGTGAAATGTTGGAACTGTCGGTAAATTTGATGTCGACGGCTCTGAAGAAGAAAACAACATGGCAGGTCAAGATATGCATAAATTTAATTCCGTGGTATGACTGACTGTGTTCTGGTAATGTATTGTAATGTCAATGTAGTGGTCTGGCATTTTTTGGCATAATGAAAAGGTTTGCAGTACACACCCCCATTTATTCTTTCATGTATGAGTAGCCTATTGCTTTCTGTAAAGTAATACAGCTGCAGGTAGACTAAAAACTTACAAATATTTTTCAAGGATTACAGAAAATGGGAGCGAAATACAATACCTAAACCTCTGCTCTGGGCAACTCCTCATCATAAAGCAGGCATATCATCTAACAAAGGAGAAATCAGACCATCTCCGACTGAAAAATCAGGTGTAAACATGGGTATGTCTGGATCAAAGCTTCTACTGTAGTGAGGCATATCTGTCTTTATGAATTCTTTTGTAATCTCTGCTTTATGAAAAGGAAAATCTCAATCTCATGTCCACAATGATTTCACAACACTCCTCAAATTCCCTTCAAGAAGGACGGCTGAAAAAGTGGAACAGGACCAGGTCACCTCAAAGACGAAATACAACATCAAAGAACTGATGGTGTGTACAGTACTATAAAGAAGGAAAGCAGACTTTAATAGTTCACTTGTGCTTAGTTTGGTGTATATGCCATGTCAACAGCTGCAATCTGTTGTAGTTACTCATCAAATCCAGGAAAGAAGCAATAAAAGACCTGGAGGAGCTCTGTGAACAGCTTCAAGAGAGGAACCTGCAGATGGCCAGAAACATAATGGATACGGACAGAAGCTCATTCGCCAGAACCAATGAACTACTCATCCAGACAGAGCAAAAGAAGGTGAGAGAAATTGTATCACATCTTTAGATCCTACCGTACACATTGTGCACTGAACTCAAACCTTTTCAAAATTGTGCAAGTATTGAATATCCCTAACCAGTCAAACGTGATCTTTTATGTTCTTTCTAGAGATCAACGGTATCTTTGAAACGATGGAATGACAGTCTTATTAAAAGTGCCAAAGCAGAGCTGAGAGATATAAAGGAAGCATCACAGACACATCTCAGTGGTTAGTTTATAGTTCATCAGTTAGTTTTCATCATTGTCAAATGCAATATGTACACTACACAGTCAAAAATGTTCATATATTTTAGAACGTAATTTATTCTTGTGACAGCAAAGCTGAATTTTCAGCAGTCATTACTCCAGTTTTCAGTGTCACATGATCCTTCAGAAATCTTTTTAATATGCTGGTTTGGTGCTCAAGAAACACTGAAAATAAAACTTGAAAACAGTTTCTGCTTTATATTTTTTGTGGAAACCATAATATAGTTTTTTTCAGGATTCTTTGATAAATAGGAAGTTCAAATAACAGCATTTATTTGAAATAAAAATACCTTCTTTTTTGATCAATGCAATGCATCCTTGCTGAATAAAAGCATTATTTTATGATGATGATTATTATTATTATTATTATTATTTTTAATTGTACTGATCCCAGAACTGTAGTGTATATCAAAGCAGGTGCATAAAATCAAACAGGCTAAAACATTTAATGTAGAATGAGGCCCTCTTCTGTTCTAGCATGATAATACCTCTAACCTCCCAGAGGTCCACATGTTTGGGTATCCACATTCTTTTGGCAATATAGTGTTGTTTCTGCAATGGCTGTTATTGGTAAAGCAAAAACAAACAACCCCAAACTGCAGCAACAAATTTCAGCTGACTTCATCTGATAAATGTAGGTTTGCAGAAGCAGTTGGATGTGCTAAAAGCGAAGGTGGTAGAGGCTCAGAAAGAGCTCCGCAGACTGAAGACATACAAAGATATGGAGTTCCCAGTCAAGGCTTTGCAGATTGCAGACATGGAAAGAAAGCTGGACAGACTGAAAGAGATGCAGCAGGTAAAATATGAGCAGGACTTATTGCTGGATTACTGAGTAAAAAGTAATCAAAGTTATATCCAGGAAAATCCTTTACTTATTAAAAAAACACGTGGTTCCAGCTCCCATAAGAACACTTCAGTGTGCAATAACATTGTATTTGCCCCCTTTATAATTGACAGAAAGAGCAAGAAGATTTGAATCTGTTTTTTAAGAAAGAAATGGTCAATTTGGAGAGACACCAGTGCCAAAGAGAAAAAGATGTGCTGTCTGCTGTTGTTGAGGTAAAGAAGCTCTTCTGTGTTGATTTTTAGATTTATGTTATTTTAAATGGAGATCATTTTGTACTTCCGGAGCATCATTAAAAAAAATGTGATTATGGTTTGATTTTCAGAAACATGCTTCCCACATCCCTCCTATTGTCAAACTGATGGCCTCACAGAACGATACAATGAGGGAAGAGATTCATAAACAGAAAAAGGTAGTTATTTCTTATTTAAAAGTATACATTAAAGTTTATTATTGAGTATTAAAGTGGAATGAATATTTTAAAATACTACATTTATTTGCATTGTAAATTTAATTTACTGTATATTTTTTTAAGTTGATAATGGAGATTGAGCGAAAGAATGAAGAGCTAAGGAAGAGTATTCAGGAACTGCAACTATCAAGACCAAAAAACATCAGGAGAGAGATCTTTCCAGATGTTTTCCTGAAATCAGACAAGTAAGTGGATGAGGACATTAAGTTATTGAGGCAAACAGCTTCTTTATCACAAACAGCTCTTCAGCTGAAGCATTCCCAAGTTATACAATAATTGCAGTTGCAGAGAAACGTTCTCACAAAATTGGCCACTTGAAAGGAAGTTCAACAAACCCCTCGAAATGTCTAACAGTGTTAGTATGACCCGACCCCTCCCATAAACAGATATAGAACAGCAACACTTAGAGAAATTCACTTTCAAGAGCCTTCTCAAACATACTGACAGCACACAGCCCATGAGAATTTAACTTCCAATATGAGATAAGATGCTCATTTAATGCATTGAGAAACAATTTAAAGAAATAGTTCACCTGAAAATGAAAATTCTGGCATTATTTAGTCAATCATCATGTTGTTCCAAGCCTGTAAGACTTCCTTGCAAAAGAAGAAATTCTAAAGGAAGTCGCAACTGTTTTTGTCCATTTAAAGGGGTCATATGATGTTGCTAAAAAGAACATTATTTTGTGTATTTGGTGTAATGAAATGTGTTTGTGCGGTTTAAGGTTCAAAAAACACATTATTGGAGGTCCGCCGGCCGCCGTTCACTCTAGGCCGCCGGCGGATTCGACGAAGGAGCGTCCAGCGGGCTTGCGGCAAACACATGTGACGACCCCGGGCTGGACTCCGCTTCGTCCACAGTGAAAGCCGATCCGGCGAGCCACAGCGCAAAGTTGATGTATTTCCTCAGCAACCAGCACGGATCAGCTCTAGGCATGCCGTTTTAGGTAGGTGTGGTTGACTTTTAACTTTTATAAAGAATATCTCTTTGGATTTGAGACTTTAGTCTTTGCAACTTTACAGATCTTCTTTATGCACCAAGAGCTTGTAACACTCCAAAGAGAAAGGAAAAATTGAAATCGCATCATATGACCCCTTTAAAGACAATAGGGTTCCAAACCAAATTAGACCCCTTGACTTTCATTGTATAAAGTAAAAAAAAAAAAAACACAGACATTTTTCAAAATACCTTCTTTTTTGTTCTACAGAACAAAATCATGGTTCATTTCCTAAAAGCATCATTAACCTATGGTGGCAAGTTTCGTCATTACTAAGATTTGAGTGTACAGTACAGTAGTCATCAGGATCTCCACCACTTTCGTTTGACGTCATTAATAACACTCCTATGTTGTTGAAATAATTTGTGACCATATTGGAAATGACATGAGAGTAAGTAAAAGATGGCTGAATTTTCATTTTTGGGTGAACGACCATGCAAATTTGTATGATAAGCAACATGTTCACTAACCCATTAAGCTTTTTTGGAGATTGGAGTGGAACGTTGCGAATCAGATACAGTAAACTAGAGGAAAAAGTACCCTATCTACTTTCAAACAAATGCTTGGTTTGGAAAAAGCATTGAGCTGTTGGAGATGGTGTTATATTACACAGTTTTGGAAAAGACTCCAAAGGCCATCTTAAAGATAAATGAAGAACAAGAGATTGCTGTGCATTCATGGAATCCCTGGCACCCATTAAAGGTTAATGAAGGTTTCACATTTCCCAACAGTCTGTTCCAAAACAGCATGTCATTTTCCTCTCCATGACAATCGGTATTATCTCCAAAACAATCGGACACTTTATTCCAAGGTCCTGCGAGTGCATGCACAACCTCTTGCCACCCATGGGAGCTGTTATTATCACAGATAAGATTTATTCATATGGACCTTCGGTCCGTAAGTGTTTTGCCCTAGGGGACAAAGAACGTGGAAAACAAGCAAAAAAACATTCACTGTGTTCACATATCATGTCACACTGAGCACCAAGTTATAAAGGTTTCCATTAAATGGAGATAATGATAAACAGATCTGGGATTTCCTGCTTCGCTCGTGACAGAGACGTGGCTTTAGTATCTGCAGATGTACTGAGCCCCAGCAGAGAAAGTTCTCATGTTTCCTGTCTTAAACAAACTGTCTCAGGCTGTGGTGACCATGTTTAAGGGCAGATGTCCTGTAAGGAGTCCTCCTGATTTACATGATCTTTGCACCAAAAAAATGAAGATTCTGTCATGATTTGTCATTCCAAACCTGTATGAATTTATTCTATGGAACACGAAAGAAGTATTTTTTGTCCATTGTCCATAGTTTTGGACCCTATTGACATTCATTGTATGGGCAAAAAACGTTCTTCTGAATATCTTCATTTGGTTTGCAGCAACATGGGGGAGAGTAAATGACTACATTTTCATTTTTGGGTGAACTATCCCTTTAAGGTCATATAATGGCTGTATACAGTTACTGTCACTGTGTTTTCTGTATTTTAGGTGTACTCCAGATATGGACGTCCATCTCAATGTACCCCAAATGGATTTGCTCCCTGTGTAGCCTTGTGCTGAAGGAATTACCTTTTTGAGTCTTCCCTTGAGCTGCTATATATTACTGACGAAAATCAATGAAGCCACTTCATTAAATCATTTTACTCAGTCAAACAATTGTACAAATCTTCTTTTCTTTATTTGTCTTTGCTTTCAGTTTGTTTTATAGGCTTTATCATCTCTTTTTTTTTCTAAAAACACAATATATTGCACTCTAGTGCAAATGCCATGATTTACTGATGTGCTTTTAGACATGCAACTGCATACATGTATTTTTATGTTTCACAAACTAAGCTGCATATGTTAAATGACCACTTTTATTTGGTAAGTAGTAACAAAATACCTCTTTAAAAGCCAGACTTTTTATATTAGCATACCTACAATAGTCTCATTGTAAATATACTAACATTCAGACATTTTTGAAAGAAGCCTCTTGTGCTCACCAAGGCCATATATTTGATCTAAAATACAGTAAAAAAAAAATATTTATATTGTGAAATATTACCATTTAAAAGTAATTTAAAACTGTTTTCTGTTTTAATAATGTTTCAAAATGTAATTTATTCCTGTGCTGCCAAAATTGAATTTTCAGCAAACATTACTCCAGTCTTAAGTGTCACAATAAAATACTGTGTGTACACATATATATGTTGTACATTTTAAGACTTTGCCATACATCACTGTTCAAAAGTTTGGGGTCAGTAAGATTTTTTTTAAATTATTTTTATTGATTTGATTGATTGATTGAAAGACATTTAGTACTTTATCCAGCAAGGATACAATAAACTGATCAGAAGTTACAGTAAAGACATTTATAATGTAATTATAATACAGGGTGTATTATAACATTTTTCACAGTACTTTGTATTGTTTGCAAAGCACATAAAAATGCAATTGCAGCTTAAATTTTTGCAGAAGATGCTCATAATCGGTCCATGTTCCCATGTCGGAGGACCACAATGTTGAAGTTTGGAACCAGTCAGCAAGCAAATGTTATTGCAGTTAATGACACTTTAAAGTCAATCCTCCAAGTATGTGTGCTTCATTTTATGACTATATATGACTCCATTTACCTTGCAAGTGGGGCATTTCAAAGCCATTTTGCAAACTGTGAAACAGTAGTTTTGTGACATTGATGTAATTGACCAAAGTGTGGGAACAAGTCTTGCTCTGTAAACAGTTATGGATTTCAGCACCCCAGTGTATGGGCGACTGGTTTGATTACTTTTGCTGTTTCATTTGGAAAAGATTCAGTTGAGCCTCAGAGAATTAAAAATTCCTGGTAAAAAAAAAACAACAGCGAGATCTAAGCAGGGGATAAACCTTATTTCCTCTATTTCACTGTTGCAAGGATTCTGAGCTCTTTTTTCCATGTGTATTCGGTGCTGGGATGCTTTTTTCCAATAAATAAAACTTATTTTAGAAACAAAAATACTAAACAGATGCAATAAAATTGCAACATTCATTATCCAATTGCATAAGCACCAAGAAAAGAAACAGCTGTGGATGTTTTTTCTCTAAAGAAAAATAAATGCAATGTGTGTGGTTTTGCATTGCATGATTTCCCAGTGATGACATCATTAAATCAAGATGCGTTTTACATCAAAGCAGCTGGACTAATGAGAACCTCCTGATAACATGATATCTCAGCTCAGCTTTAAGCAGGAAATGACAGACCATCGACGACGTCATGGGGATGGAGTGGGACGGTGCTAAAAAGGCACATTATAACATTTCGTGGCCCTGGATGATGTTGAAAGACGCTCAACGAGGACCCACGAGACTTAAAGTTGAGGGCCCATTCGTTGAGCTGTGTTTACGGATCATGTGAGTAACATAAACAGAAAGCAGGTTTCTGAGCTCGAGCTGAGTTGGCAACAGGAGCCCACCTGTGTTTAATCACAAAGACACGATATATGCAACTTCACACCGATCCAGATCTGAGGGCTGACGCTCGAAGTCTTCAAGTGGAAGGATGAACTGAGAAGTCGCGCTTGGGACTGCTAAAACTTGCTTGTGGTGAGATAAAGGTGAGTGAAAGGTCACAGATGTGAACTCGCAGATGTTTTTCCTTCCTTGCGCGCGGTACGGGTGAGATGAGGCCGTGACAGACAGCGCGGGAGATTGAGAGAAATGCTTCATTCCGCTCTTCAATTTTTAAAAGCGTTGTGGAACTCGCTGGGCTGTTGCTATGACTGCAGCGGTGTAGCATTTCCCTGCAGCCGGTACATCAAACTCCACTGCGCGCAAACTGATTGATTCACTACCAATAGCTTCAAACTTCATTCTGCGGCTTGATGAGAACCTGTATGCTTTAAAACGTTCTTTTACGGACATGTTTGTGAGTACACTTCACTTTCTCAAGATGTTTTTGTAGGAATATGTCTGATTTGTTGTTCAGCTGTTTTGTTATTAATGCATGAAATATGATCAAATGCATGAATATGCAGAGGACACTGGGGCTAGTTGTCACAAAGATTTCAGCATCTATAATGTTTAGAGTAAGAAGTCCAAATAGACAAATGCTTGTTTTTCGCTCTCAGTGGTTTCGTGTCAAACACTAGTTCACTTAAAGGCACAATATGTAAGATTTTTTTATTAAAATATCCAAAAACCACTAGAACAGTGTTGTATATTTTGCTGACTTGTGTACTTGCATTATCCCAAATGTTTCGAAGAATGTTTAAATCCAGAGAAATAAGCAATTTTAACTAGAGACACGGAGCGTGTCCATAGTGTCATTGTGGCGCCTGCCAATGACGTCATACACCCTTGATTTCCGGTTTTGTTTTGTAGAAAACATGGAAACACCAAAGACGCTTTAATATGTCACCTGTCTAATAAAACGCATAAAGACCACACAGAGTAGCATAATAACAGAACTTTCAAATGTATCTAGTATGATAAAACAGCGCTGTTTTTTTTCCCCACATACGCACGACCGGAAGGAGCGGAAGCGGTCGACTGTGGCATAATAAAAGCTCCGCTGCTTTCGAGGCGTGTGTCGCGCTCGTTCAACGGCCTCATTTCGCTTCGACGGCTTTCAGCCTCACCCTGCTTTATTCTACTACGTTAAGTTTTGCGATTCGGCCCGAATCAGTTTTCTAAAGTGTTTTTGAAAAATCACTTACTCTGCCTTTAAACTAGCATTTTGCCTAGTAAACAAGTGAACACAAAACCACAGTGGCATATATTAACACAAGAGAAAATTTACATTTTGTTCTTAGAATGGGGCAAGTTGTCACATGTTTTAAATGTCATACATGCATACAGTTGACAAATTTCTTTTTTTTTTCGAATCCAAAAGTATATTAAGTATTATAACTATTTTAAGTTTTAAGTTATAAATATTTGCTGTATTTATGTGTAGGCATACCGAAATTGACTTAAATAAAAATAAACCAAATATTCACTGGAATAAAAAGTGTGACAACTAGCCCCGGTCTCTTCAGTGCTACCAGTTACAAAGTTTACACATTTTTATGTTTCTAATGATTTAAGTATCCAATGCTCAAAATTATTTATGTAAACACATATAAACAGTGCATAAGGTCTTTACAAAATTTGTAAAGAAATCAGCATTAAATTTTTTAACTGGATAATAAAGCAGAAGCAGTCAACAAGTGACTCCTAAAAAAAGCATCTCAGGATGCACCTCAAGAAGTTTTTTTTACTAGTTGTGTATGATGCATATGCAGTGAATCAAGACTATTCGACAGTATTGCATTAACTACAGGGTAATTGTAACAAAATATGCTCATACTGTTTGTTTTCCTGTCACTTTTTTTTGTTCAGGCATATCTATGCTTATAAGATGACACTCAACACACAGAAAGAGGGAAAGGAACCACTGAGGAGAAGAGCGAGTACTCCCATCCCCTCCTCTCGTCAAGGAGGCAAGGGAGAAAGAGACCCATCCACTGACCCCTATCACCCTCCGCTCGCCCAATCAGCCTCGTACCACCCCGGAGACAAGAGCATCCACTCACGGGCCAACTGGTCTTCAGACTCAGAGTCGGACAGCTCTGGAGCCGAGTGTCTTTATCGCGTGGTTTTGTTGGGGGATCACGGCGTGGGGAAGTCAAGCCTTGCAAACATTTTTGCTGGAATACAAGAAAAGGATGCCCACAAACACATTGGAGGTATAAAATCCAAAATATATTATGGCTTTTGTGGATATTTGTTCATGTCTACGTATCAGATCAGTTGAGTTGATTCAGTTGATTCATTCTGTTCGGTTCAGTCAACTGAATGTTATTGTTTAACAGTAAATATAGCATTGCTACACTACTGTAAAACTCATGGCATTGTAGGGCCTAAAATAACCTTGACTAAACTGTTAGGTCTGCCTGATTGATTGCACTCTCAAATTGTCACGTGTCAAGATTGATCCTGAAACATTAATTGTATGGTGATATTGATTAATACATTGGTCAGAGCAAACAGTACATACAGTACATTGATTTGCAGCTGTTATCTAGAGCATTGTTGCCTGTTTTATTCCTTTAAGCACAGATTTTAAACTTTGCAGCAAATAAAACATTATATTTTTGTACTATAAATGTAGAATCATTTCACTTTATTTTGCCGAAATATGGTCATTACTTATAACCGGACAGCACATGACTGATTTAAAGTCAGCACCATTGGGTGGTCTGTCCCATTTGTCCAGTCCTGTCCATCTTTGGTGTTCCAAAGGTGTGAGACAAATCAGACAATCCTGACACGACTGACACACAAAATTTTGACTGACACGAAACTGGTCCATCAAAGACCTATGTATAAACCTACCAGTTTAAATTGGCTTAAATATTAAGCACACAGATTTATGTGTCTCCCTAATGCACTGAACTATGCAAAATGCCTTTATCAAAGCAGTAAATGAGTGTCTGTGAGTGGCAATCTGTTGACCTACATGTTGTTTTTTGTCTAACAGCATATGACCTTATGTCTCGGCTGTTGTTGGCTTTGACCTGAGCAGAACATTATCCTGTAAATAATCATGTCATT